TGATTCCCCTGACTCAGTCTCCCAAGTGCTGGGATTATAGGCATGTGCCACAACACCCAGCCTTCTCACTTTTAAAAATTGGCTACTTTGGGCTGGGGAGATAGCTCAATAGAATAAGTACTTGCCTGGCAAGTGCAAGGTCCTGAGTTCAATCCCCAGTACCCCCCCACAAAAAAAGGCCACTTTAACCATTTGATAACCATTAGATATCAGCACTATTTGAAATAGCAAAATAGTAACAACAAAACCTGGCAACTATTTAACTGTCCAGTGATAAGGAAATAGCTAGCTCAACTATGATAAGTCCACAAAATTGACAATTATGCACCCATAAGAATGACACTGACCTGGGAAGACATGTCTAATTAAGTGAAAAAACATTACAATTTAGTAGGTAAAAGACCCTATTTGTGCTGTGCCAGCCACGCTCCCAGGGTGCACTAGGATGGTGATTGAAACAGCATGGTAGTGTGTGCCTGTAATTCCAGCTCTTGGGAGGCTGAAAACAAGAGAATCACTACTACACGACTACAAGTCTGATCTATGTAATTAGACCGTGTAGATCCTGTACTAAATACAAAAAAAGAACCTATTTGTAAGAATCATATGTGTAGCAATATATAAAGGTGTGACATACAATATAGTGAATTTTTTTTTTCGGTACCAGGGATCCAACTGTGGAACTTGTATTTGCCAAGCAAGCACTTAAGCCACTGAGCTATAACCCCGGCCCAGGTTAATGTTTAAATTAAAAAATTACAGTAAAAGACACACTGTCATTAATCCCAAGAGGTAGAACTTGCAAGGATGTGATTTTGTTTTGAGACAGGGTCTCACCATGTAGTAGTTTAGCCTCCTTTTGAGCTTACTATGTGGCCTAGGCTGGCCTCTATCTTGCAATGATCCTCTTGCCTCAGTGTCCCAAGTGCTGGCTGCAACTTTTTAAACCGAACTAACCACAGTGAAATAGGCTGGGCTTTCTGAACCTACAGTATTTGACAGAAGGCAGACACATGCTGGGATGTAGCTTCTAGAAGGAGCTCCTGCAGATAAAAGGTAGTACCATTTTTTCACCTGTCTGCTGCTCAACTGGATTTGTGGTTAGAATGTTCAATTCCCTAGCCTTTGATCCCACCCTTGATTACCTGGTGGTTTTCATAGGTTTTATAAGTAGGTGTGTTTTGTCTTTTGATTAGATGAAAATAACATGTATACATGTACATACAAGCATTCTGGGGGCTGGTGAGATGGCTTAGTGGTCTAAAGCACCTACTTAGAACAAGCTTAGCAAAGCACAGGGACCACGGTTCAATCCCCCAGCACCACATGCCAGCCAGCCCTGCCCCCTGGTGGGCTGAGCTGGTCACACACACACACACACACACACACACACACACACACAAATAAATAAATAAAATTAAAAAATAAGTAAATAAATTTAAAAAAAACCAAGCATTTTGTTTTCCCATTTCCCATGCACTTCAAGCTTTTGTCCTGTTCTATTTTCCTGAGTTGGTCAGTCAGCTCCATTACTCCTTGACATATAGGCCTCAACTTTTTTTTTTTTGTCTTTTTGAGACAGGGTCTTGCTATGCAGTTCAGGCTGGCCTTGAGCTCACTTTGTAGCCCAGCCTGGCCTCAAACTCAAAATGATACTCCTGCCTCAGCCTCCCAATTGTCTAGAATCCCAGGTGCCAGGAGCTTTTGATCTTTGTTCTCTCATCTAATGTGTTAATACCACTCTTGGGTCACTGGCAAAAGCAGACTATCGGAAGAATAAGTGACAGCTCTTGCACTGTTAAAGACAACATAAATAGAGTCCAAAATTAGCTTAAGAACAAGAAAGGCTCACTTGCTTTTGCAATCCCAGAGTAGTCCTGGAGAATTTCACTGGACAATCCGGGGCCGGCAAGATAGCTCAGTAGACTAAGTGCCTGCTTTGTCAAGTGAACAGAACAGGGTTTGATCCTGTCCCTCATGCTGCGCCAGCCCTGCCCCCGGGCTTACTGAGCTGAGACCCAGTCTGGGCGTGATGGCACACACCTGTAATGCCAGCACTGGGGAGGCTGGAAAGAGGAGGATCACTATGAGTCCTACGTGCTAGTGAGACCCTATACCAAATATGTAAATGGAGGGGAAAAAAAGTAGTACAAGTGGTTGGACAGAAGCAAGTACAGTGGGCCAAGGAACAAGTAACAAAATTACGAAAGTGGAGCTGTGAAGTGCACACTGTGCTTTAAGAAAATTAGATGAATGAATAAATGGAGTAAAAGGTATAATTGGAAACACAGGTAAAAGAGATAGTATTGGGCTGGTGAGATGGCTCAGTGGTCTAAAGCACCCACTTAGAACAAGCTAAGCTAAGCAAAGCACAGGGACCACGGTTCAATCCCCCAGCACCACATGCCAGCCAGCCCCGCCCCCTGGTGGGCTAAGCTGGCCACACACACACTAAATAAATAAATTAATTAATTAAAAAAAAAGAGAGATAGTATTGAGTGACCGGAGAGTCTCAAAATCTGTGTTCCTTTCTTGAATTCTCCTAAGTTTATGAGGGAAGTACTGTTTGGCTGCATTTTCTAAGTAACAGATGTGGAAGCTGTCAGTAAATACAATCAAGCACACATGGAATTTCAACCTAGGCTACCAATATCTGGAGTTATGTGCTTATGCTCATAAGAGATTCTAAGCACAGAGGGAAAGACAAGGACTGAAGAATGGCAGAAGCTGAGACTAACTACCAATTAAGTGTAGTAACGTAGGTCTGCATAGTTAGGCCTTTCTCTAGCAAGCCTATCTCCACAGATGTGAAGATGGGACAAATTACTCTAGGGATGAGGGTGACAAGGGGGTAGTAATGATGGTGGTGACATGACAGGCAAGCAAGGAACTAAGAGAATTGAGAGGTCAAGGCCACTGGTGTCAAGAGGTAAATTGTCATCACATCCAGAGTTTAAAGAAGGAAGACTAAGGCCAAGAACTGCCCAATAAAGAAAACAAAGGAATTAAAAGTCTGATGAACACGGGCAAGTTAAGAATCTTGGCAAAAATGTTTAAAAAAAGCAGAATCCCCATTAGCCTAACAGCAAGAAGGAAAGGATGGCTTCAAAGACAGACAGATGCTGAGGAACTTAGCAACAAATCAATGTGAAGACTGAAGCAGGCCAATTATTATCATATTGATCAATGATGTTGCTACCAAGCAGAAACTCAAGTGAGGACAATTTAGTTTATGACTCATGTTTTAGTAGCCACCACACTGAGTAGAAACTAGCATGAAATTTCAGTGAGTGACAGTCAGGTGACAGCTGTAGCAGTAGATTGTGGTGATGGGTGAGGGTATATGTGGCAAATACTGCAATATCAATGGCATGGTTTGGATGAGTGGCCCCCAAGGTCCACATGTTAAAGCACTATCTTCAGGGTAGTGTTATTGGGGTAGAGCCTACTGGGAGATCCCTAAGTCAATGGGGGCAAGCCCTTGAAGGTGATTATGGGAGCCTGGTCTCTTCCTCTTTGCTGCCTGGCTGGTAAGGTGAGCAGTTTCCAAAAGCACTGCCTCATCAGAGGCCTGAAGAGATGCATTACTTGCTCTCAGACTGGAACCTTCCACATTGTGAGCTAAAATAAGCCTTTTCCAAGTTTATATTTTAGGTACTGTTATAGTGATAGAAAGCTAACACAACCAGAACCACTTAGGGACAAGAGACAGAAAAGAAATGAACTTGAAGGGTTGAGAATTAAGGTAATGGTGTTACCAAGAGGGCATCAGAGGGGGAAAAAATGAAAAATGATGTGACTGCTTCAAGTTTTGTGTTGATCTTTGTAGGAAGTGGCCTTCAAACTGTTGCTTGCATTTCTGAGTTTTATGTGATAGCCAGTTCCAAAGACTATTGTAAAGACTGCCTACAGCCATCTTAGACTGCCTACAGCCGTCCTCTTCTACCCTGCCTCTTTCCCAGGGAGAAAGACAATCTGTCAGGCTTCTGCTTGCACAGCACATGTTTTCTTCAGTGCTCTGTTGCTGCATTTGAAGCACACTGGCTAGCTGCCTAAACCACTGGGGCATGTGAAAAGAGTAAAATGCCCAAGGAACATCTCTTCTAGGGCATGTGCAGAAAGAATGGTGTATTTGAGGACAATTCCAAAATTCTAGCTCTCTAATCTGTAAACTTTCAGAATTTTTTTGTGTTTGCTCTGTAAGAAAGCATATCCGAGACTAGGGTCCGAAGAATTATTGCTTCTTGGTAATAGTTGATCAATACTAAATATAGAACATAAGCCTATTGGGCTTACTGATCAGGAACACTTGAAAATAAGCCTTTGTGTTAAATTGTCCAGGCAACCTCTGAAATGAAAATGACAACAGTCTGCGTGATTGCTACAGTTCTAAATTACAAAAGGGGCCCCCTAATGAAGTCACTCTATTTTGTTGCCCACTCCCCCAAATTCTTATTTAAAAAGCCTATGAAGAATTAGTAGAAAGAAATATGATCAAAGGTTGGGTTACTGGTAAAATATTATGAATTATTTGTGTTATGCTATTATCTTTGACTTAAATATTTTTTCAGTGAAATAGTTTCCCTAATGTTATGAATACTAAATAGCACAATTTTTTTTTACAATTAGAAAAATCCAATTTTTATGTATAATGAGTCATCCCTGACCACAATTTATTCTTTATTTAGAAACTTCCCTGATGATGGACCAACATAATTGAGTATCCAACTTATTTTTAGCAATAATTTCTTTTCAGACATGCAGGCATATGTTGCTTGAAATCATTAAATGGAAAAAAAGGGTCATTTTCTAGCAAATAAGCCAAAAACAAAGTCATTTCCCTGGTTTTAATCTTAGACTTTATTCATAAAAAGCCAAAACAAGTAGTTTAAAAGAAAAAAAAAATTCAAAGAACTTTGTCTTGTTTCATAGAATTCACCAGGTTTTAGTCACAGATAAAACATCCTAGGAGTTCAGCAAAACAGTATACAACCCCTTCATGCATAGTGAAATGAGTGACATATGATAGAGAAGCAGATCAATCTGGTAACAGTAGACACTGGTGTTGGACCTGTTACTTTTCAAAACAAAAAGAAAGGGAAATAATTGATCAAATATTACAACTAATACACATGAAACAAACTTTATTTTGTCATTTTTTTTTCAACAAGAAAAAAGTAAGACTTTATTGTCACCATTGGGAGCACCTGGCTCCTCCCTTGTGTCTTACTAATCAGAACAATTAATTTGTAATCAAATGTTGAGTCACCTTTGAGCCAGTGTCCCTCATCCTAGCCCAGGTTCTATCTGAAGATACAGCATATTCCTTCAGAATTGTGGCTCTGTTGAGTTATGAATATCTGCATAAAAGCTGCTACATCCTGCCTTAGGCTCTGATGGGTAGGGAGAGTGGCAAGTTGAAGGAGGCTATAGGCAAAGTCCAATTAGTAGTTACTGGTGGGTAAAAATGGCCCAGGATGTTAATCACAGGGGAATCACAATGCTGGGAGTAAAACCTAGAGAGAGGATTGGGAGAGAGACCCATGGGACCAGACAGGCTAGCCCAAGTCAGGACCCCTGGAGACTGTGGTGAAGGGTAATCTTCAGGAGCTCAAACATCATAGAATAGCCAAACAAGCTGGTACCGAATGGAGAAGGTGAGGGCACTGCCCAGGATCTGTAGCAGCAGCAGGAGCACTGTGAGGTTCCTTTCATGTATGGGCCCAAGGATCTTTTTTTAAATTTTTTTTTATTTATTTGAGAGAGAGAGAAAGAGAGAGAGAGAGAGAGAGAGAGAGAGAGAGAG